GAGCCCACAACACAGAGTCCAACACAGGTCACAACACAGAGTCCACAATCACAGAGTCCAACACAGAGTCCAACACAGAGTCCACAACACAGATCCACAACACAGATCCACAACACAAGTCCAAACACAGAGTCCACAACACAGAGTCCACAACACAGAGTCCAACACAGAGTCACAACACAGATCCAACAACACAGAGTCCAACACAGAGTCCAACACAGAGTCACAAACCACAGAGTCCACAATCACGGATCCAACACAGAGTCCACAACACAGAGTCAAACACAGAGTCCACAACACAGAGTCCACAACAACAGAGTCCCAACACAGACGTCCACAACACAGAGTCCAACACAAGTCAACACAGAGTCCAATCACAGAGTCCAACACAGAGTCCAACACAAGATCACAACACAGAGTCCACAACAACAGAGTCCAACACAGAGTCCACAACACAGAGTCAACACAGAGTCCCAACACAGAGTCCAACACAGATTCCACAACACAGAGCCCAACACAGATCCAACACAGAAGCCAACAAGAGTCCACAACAACAGAGCCACCCAACAGAGTCCATCAACACAGAGTCCACAACACGAGTCCAACACAGAGTCCAACACAGAGTCCACAACACAGAGTCCACAAAACAGAGTCAACACAGAGTCCCACAACACAGAGTCCACCAACACATTAGCCAACACAGAGTCCACAACACAGAGTCCAACACAGAGTCCAACCACAGGAGCCACAACACCAGAGTCCACAAACCAGAGTCCAACACAGAGTCCACAACAAGGTCCACAACACAGAGTCCACAACACAGAGTCCAAAGTCAAAGCTAACATTAATGCTAAGCTAATTAACGTTAGCTTTCTGTTAGCCAAGAGTGATGCGAGGTAGAGGCATCCAGCTAGCTAAGCTGGCTGTGTCTTTGCTGACGTTATTCTAAATATATTATTTTACAGTGTTAGTCGCTGTTGGCCGATACCCAGGATGTAGTTCACTGAACGACCACTGGTGGCGCTGTCAGCTACAGTTTAATGAACATTACATATAGAAGCTTTAAAGTGTCTGTTGTCACTTGTTTTTCTCTTTCTTGTCTCAGATATTATAAAACCCTTTTAGACTCACAGATGTAAGAATATAATCTGATGATCCAACAGCGGTCGCCCACAATGCACCACAATGACCTCGAGCTCACAGGTAACATCACGGCGCTGACAGCGGGGTTACATTACCTCTGATTGGCAGAGCTTGACTCACATACCCAGAATGCCACAGATATGGACGAGGAGGCGGTGATGAAAACTGCCTCACAGAGACGGAGTCGTTTCAGCGACTGCAGACGTTTAATCCGACATTAAATCAGATTAATTAATAAAAGACAGAAGGAAGGTTTAAGTGCACGACATCCACATGAGTTTATTTCAGCTGTTAAAATACATCCATTCATGGAAACACTGGAGCCATAAAAAAACACATATCCACCTTTTGCTGCAAATAAATAAAGTCAGAAAGGTTCCTGATGCAGAAATATACAGAAATACTGGAGAGAGTCACCTGACTGAAGCTTCAGGTACAACGTCCTGTCTCTGACATTTCACAATAAAAGCCTTTGAATCTCAACCAACGCGTTTAATCGTCTTCTTTGCTCCGTTGATCAGAGACGTATGGAAGCCCATTACTGCCAAATATAAAATGAGATGAAAACTCGAGAATAACAAAAAAATAATCTTAAATCAAAATAATGAGATAAAAAAAATAAAAATTGTGACATTAAAGTTGAAAATATGATAGAAAGTCATAATTCTGAGATACAATTTCTCTATTTTAAGTTTCTGTGGGAATATTTACATTATTAAGTTTTCATCTGATTTTGTTTAACTGGCAGAAATGAGCTTCCATAGAGTGACAGAAAGTTCCTGTAGGTTGATTTTGTTTTGGATATTAACTCATTAAAGACGACTAACGAGGTGGAAACACAGAAACCTACTTTTTGTTTATTATTTCCTGAACTGGTAAACAGAAACACACAAACATTAATTTGAATATCAGATTTCCTCACTGACTGAAGGTTCTGGATCCACTGGAACCGAACAGAACTGTATTTAGTGGTCAGTCACTGGGAGTCACTGTCAAACATTATTGAGTTATTATTGAACGTGTGTCTGAATGACGGAAATACCGGAAGAAAAAAGCAACACTCAGTTTTCTTTGTGAATCTTTTTCAGTCCCGAAAATGTTCGTATCAAAAATTATTAAAATATTAAATTCCTAACGGACAGTTTGAGAGGAATCTTCCTCCAAGTGACTAACGACTAAAAAAAGAGGTTAATAAAAATATTTTAGTGGATTTGTGCTTAGCTTAGCATAGCTTAGCTAATACTTTAAGTGCTGTAAATGAAATTATACAATTCCACTGTTTAATTAATTAATGCTTAATTAATTATTATCTAGCTAATTAGCTTGGTAACATTACCTATCAGATGTAAGTAGCTAGCTAACGATTCATGTAAATTAGCAACCTAGCTAGCTAACGTTTTGCTAACATTAGCTAACTTAAGACGTGACTAAATATATATTTCACATATAGCCGATGTTAGTAAAACATTTTACATTAATTGTAGGCTAGCCAGTTACATGTGATAGTGTTAGCAAAACACTAGCTAATTAGCTAGCTAATAATAATGCAGACAAGCTAGGTAGCTAGTGTTTTGTTAATATTTGCTAACATTAGCTTACGTAAGATGTGACTATATAAATGTCTCTTATCTTATCTCTATATCTTTTAAACATCTTTAAAATGTGGTTGTCTTTTGAACATAGATTAGCCTAGCATGTAGCATATCTAAGTACAGCAAAGGAGGAAATTGCTCAACTGTGATTGGAGCACAGAGTGAAAAGGGGCGGGGCTTATGTATAACTTAAGACTTAATATAATTCAAAGTGGTGAGTTTAGTAAACATGTTTATTTCTGCAGTTTAATATGGAGCCTGACTCACTGCTGGAGCCTCTAGTGGACGTTAGAGGAACTGCTTCATTTGCAGCCAACAGAGGTTGCTGGTCTTTATGCTAAGCTAGGCTAATCACCCCCTGGCTTTAGCTTCCCGCTCAACCTCTGTATATGTGTGTGATATAAATTGAAGGTGTAACCGCAGTACTGACCCCGGCAGTATCGGTGCTACACATTCAAACCAGAACCTGGAAACACTTCACACGTCTTCATCAACACTTTGGACCTTGTTACAGTCATTAATGGTAGAAGCTGCCACAGTTAATGCCCAATTGCATAAAACATATTCAATTAGCTTTTATTCCATAATGTGCAAACATTAAAAACGCACTGTTTAAAATAGCGTGCATATATCAGAGGAACCTGTTCAAACAGCTCTAACAGAGGAAACACTACAGTGACTGTGGATGAAGCTGAACACAAACACCGGCGGGTCCGGGGGGCAAAGTGCACACTGCCTTCAGTCAAACTGTATCCTGACCCCGACCCCCGACCCCTGACCCCTGACGCTGTCATGCTTAACAAGGAGGAGGCACAAACTGGACACGAAGCTTCAGTCCAGAAAAAAACAAAACAACAGCTACAAACTACTTCATGCCGACAAAATACAGCTCTGATAGATACGGAAGCTCATTGCTGCCAATGTGAGGAAGAAATAACGATTCTGTCTTTATAATGAGAAACCTTAAATAACAATAGATTATAATTAGTCATTATAATGATAATATAATGTGTTTTTACGTCACATTGGCAGAAATGAGCTTCCATAGGAAAGTACATCTTTAATCCGAGACTATAAAAATACTTTAGTGGTCTGAGTTTAGTGACTGTTTGAGTCTTTTTCTTTAAACTGACCACAGGTTTATTCGACCACATCATAGCAAAATAACACTGATTGAAAGACGGGATTCAATCGTCACAGGAGACCACACAAACTGTACATTCACTTCAAGTAGAGGAGAATCCATGCTCTGAAGACGGGAAAGAAAAACTGTTCCAACATTTCAATCTGAGAGTTTGTCGACAGAATTTAACTAAACCGGGAAAATAAAAGTCAATCAAACCTTCTTCTTCTTTTTGGTTGACGTACAGTCAGCAGTGCTCGGTTTGTTGTTGCATTGATTATTTTCTGTGTAACAGTCGCTGCCATGGGTTCTGAGGCTTGGCGGAGTTGAACCAGCAACTTTAGTTTAGTTTACAATCTACGGAGAGGTCTGAGGGCCGCTCGCCGCCACGCGCCCGGCCAATGGTCGCTGTGGTAGAGAGACACAGGGAGAGAGAGAGGGAG